CTCCCAGTCCCTCCCAGTCCATCCCAATCCCCAATATCTCCCCCCCAGTCCCCCCCCGTCCCCCCCCCTGCATCCCAATCCCCAATATCTCTGCCCCAGTCCCTCCCAGTCCCTCCCAGTTTGCCCCCAGCCACTCACGGTGACGGTGGCCAGCAGCCCCTCGGGCACGTTGGCCACGATGATGCCGATGAGGAAGATGACGGCCTCGAGCCAGGTGTAGCCGAGGATGAGGGAGAGGATGAAGAAGGAGAGGCCGAGGAAGACGGCGACGCCGGTGATGAGGCGGATGAAGTGCTCGATCTCCATGGCGATGGGCGTCCGGCCCACCTCCAGCCCCGAGGCCAGCGAGGCGATGCGGCCCATCACCGTGCGGTCGCCCGTGGAGATGACGATGCCCCGCGCCGTCCCTGCGGGCACGGAGGTGGCACGGGGGTGACACGGGGCTGGGATGAAGGTGACAGGAAGGTGGGATGAAGGTGACACAAAACTGGGATGAAGGTGACACAGAAGTGACACGAAGGTGGGATGAAGGTGGGATGAGGGTGACATAGAGGTGACATGGAGGTGAGATGAAGGTGACAGGGAGGTGGGATGAAGGTGACACGGAGGTGACATGAAGGTGGGACAAAGGTGACACAAAACTGGGATGAAGGTGACACAGAAATGACACGAAGGTGGGATGAAGGTGACATGGGGGTGGGATGAAGGTGGGATGAAGGTGGGATGAACGTGACAGGGAGGTGACACGGAGGCAGGATGAAGGTGACAGGGAGGTGGGATGAAGGTGGGGTGAAGGTGACATGGAGGTGACATGGAGGTGGGATAGGGGTGGGATGAAGGTGACACAAAGATGGGATGAAGGTGACACAAAGGTGACACGGAGGTGGGATGAAGGTGACATGGAGGTGACACAAATGTGGGATGAAGGTGACACTCAGGTGACACGCAGGTGACACGAAGGTAGGATGAAGGTAGGACAAAGGTGACAGGTGACACGGGTGACATGGGTGACAGGTGACAGGTGACCCAGGTGACACAGGTGACAGGGGTGACACGGGTGACAGGTGACAGGGGTGACACGGGTGACACGGGTGACGGGTCACACGGGTGACACGGGTGACAGGTGACAGGGGTGACACGGGTGACAGGTGACACGGGTGACATGGGTGACAGGTGACCCAGGTGACACAGGTGACAGGTGACAGGGATGACACGGGTGACAGGTGACAGGGGTGACACGGGTGACACGGGTGACGGGTCACACGGGTGACATGGGTGACAGGTGACAGGGGTGGCACGGGTGACACGGGTGACAGGGGCCCACCCTCGACGCAGTTGGTGGAGAAGAAGCAGATGTTGCGCGTCTCCAGCGGGTTCTCGTGCGTGAACTCCGGCGAGCGCGTCTGCGGCTCCGACTCACCCGTCAGAGAGGAGTTGTCCACCTGCGGGTTCGGGGCTCGGGAATTGGGGTTTGGGGTTCGGGAATTGGGGTTTGAGGTTCGGGAATTGGGGTTTGGGTCTTTGGGAATTGGGGTTTGAGGTTTGGGGGTTCGGGAATTGGGGTTTGGGGGCTTTGGGATTTGGGAATTGGGGTTTGGAGTTCGGGAATTGAGGTTTGGGGTTTCAGGTTTGGGGTTTGGGGTTTGGGGGGGTTTGGGGTTCGGGAATTGGGGTTTGGGTCTTTGGGAATTGGGGTTTGGGGTTTGGGGGTTTGGGAATTGGGGTTTGGGGG